TCGGTGTACTTGTATGGTTACGTTACCAAAGAGAACAAAAAGATAGTTTGGACCAGGGAATCCATATAGGAAGTGCATAAAAATGAGGATGGTAATTAAGTTCCCGTGTTTAGCGTGGAATGTGCTATATTTGTTTATACATTCTACCACACATGGAAGCCATGTGAACAGGGACCTCAGTGTTGACTTTGATCTTCTGTCCCTGGTGTGTGTGCATTGCATAGTGCCTGGGATGTAGTCCCAGGTAGGTAGTCATTGCAGGAAGGTGTCTGTCCAGCCACATCCTAGAAGAATGACATATTGGAAATCAATTCAGAACTTTGTGCTTGCTAGGCAGGAGCTGTACCACTGGGCTATATCTCTAGCCCCAGAATGACCTCTGAGTTCTTAATCCTCCCTGTGCTGTTCTCTTGAGTATTAAATGATGATCATAGTAGTACCACACATGTACCTCATCAAGTTCAGCCTGGTGAATTGCTCTGTGCTGTGGCTGACATGTTCTAAGACCCCAAAAATTGTTACTGGCTACTTTTGTTTCCTGACATTCCTAGCTTTTGTGATGTGGCTCTGGGCTGCTTTTGCAAATTTGTGTTCTCATATTAGGCCTGTTTCACATAGGAACAGGCCCTGTAAGAAGTAAGGCAGCTGTATATCAGCTAGCTGGTTTGTGGAAGTTGGAAGTTATCATTAGTGCAGATGAGTCAGGGCATGCCTGCAGGCTGGGTTTGAGCTCAGAGCTGGGCTGGGGCAGCCATTAAGATCCCTGGGATGGGACAAAGCTTTAGGCAAGCCATCCTCTCTTCCATTCTGTTTTCTCCCTGAATCATATATATGAAAAATTTTTTTCAATTAATTATTTATTTATTTTTTCAGGACTGGGGATTCCTTTGCTTCCCTTGTGCTTGCCAGGGAAGCTCCTTACTCTTCTGAGCCATCTCCCCAGCCCTCTACCTGAATCATATTGCTCTTCCTAGAGTTGAAACACACCAAGAAGTAGTTAGAATTCCAGTGAGAACAGCAGGGAAGGCAACATTGGCATTTGGGAGTGAACACTGATAGTATTTTATAACCAGGTAGGCTACTCTTCCCACTGGCACATGAAGGTTGTAGCTGTGGAGCTTAGCGTATGGATGATCATGAATGTAGGAACAGACCTGGTGTGAGTGTTTGTGAATATACTGCCAGATTGAAGTCCAGGAATTGTATTTTTAATTGTTTCCCACAAATGGTGGATTTATGTTAGGGGATATTTTACTGTCTTTAAATATCAGTTGTCTTTAAGTGAGAAGTGGACCTTTTGTGTTTATATGAAGCATTCTTGAAAAGGGTGTTTTACTATACAGACTTCATGGTTATTGCCTATGTACTTGTACGGTCCATAGCTACATATGGACAGACCTTTTCAAATAGTTTTCTGTTGTGAGCATTAAAGGTTTTTTGTGTGTAGTGATTGTGGATCTCATTGTGGTCCATTCTACCCAGGGGGATACATCGGCAGGAATGAGGAAAAGATAAACAAGAAGACAAGAGCCTGGTTAGGTGGTGACTTGTTTGCCTGGTTGGTGAAAACATACCCTGTACAATAAATAGTAAGGGTTCTTATACCTTTGCAAAGTTACCAACATGAGAAACAGGGTTGCCTAGCGACTAATAGCTCACCACCTGCAGGCAGGATATTTCTCAAGGCTGAGGTAGCTTGACTAAGGTAATGAGGCCTCATCCTACCCTCCCACATAGGATTAATTTCAGCTTCAGTGGCTCCCAACAATAGTGAAATTTAGGGTGATGAAAGTTATGTGAATATGACAAACCCTTTTTATACCTTATATTTTAGAACTGTGTCTTGATCTTTTTGTTTTTGTTTTCTTTGCAGTACTGGGACTTAAAATGAAACTGGGAGTGAGGGGGTGCGGGTGTTAGCTCTGTGTCACTTTCCCAAATCTCCAGTTGTTTCTTTTCCATTTTGAGCAGGGCCTCACTATATAGTAAAGGGTCTACAGGGTCTCACTCCGTAGATAGGACTTGTAGTGATCCTCTTGCTTACAGCCTTCCAAGCGCTGGCTGAGGTTACAGGTGTGTGCCACCATGCCCAATCTCAGCATGGCCCTGCTCCCAGGGCTGGCATGACAGGCCCGGAGATCGAACCCCTGGTGCCTGCATCTGCCTAAGCAGGTTATTTAATCTGCTGAACTATCTGGCTGGCCTCCCTCACTATATAGTTTAGACTGGCCTTGAACTCACTATGTAGCCCTGACTGGCCTAGTGATTGTCCTGCCTCAGCCTTCCAAGGGTTGGGATTACAGACATGTGCCACCATGCCTGACAGTTTAGGTCTGACTCTTGGAATAAATATAAAGGTGTCAGTCATTTTTAGAGTAGAATCTCCCATCCTTTGTGTGACTCTGGTAATAGTATTTTTCTTAAATATTTAAATTATATTTCTAATTTTTATATAAGAAAATTACCTGTATAATTTGGGTTTGCCAGTACAATTGCTTAAATATAGAGTTACCAGAAGATACCTGTTCCATGTTATGCCTAAGATGTTTGATATTCAGACAGATAGTGAGGTTAAGCTCAAGTGCCTATAATGATATAGGGTAATAATAATAAGCTTCTCTTCTGGAAGGTTAACAACCTAAGTTTGCAGACCAAAAATTAGAGAAAAAGAAGGGCTGCAAGTACAGCCAACATTTTGGTCCTAGCCTTTCAAGGTCAGTGAAGACTGAGGACATAGGAGAACCGGTACTGTAACATGATATAACTCAGTTGTGTCCCAAATTTTTTGATCAAGGAGATTATGGGGCCACAGAGGAAAGTGATTGATGATGCAGAGTGTGCCTAGGTAGAGTCACATGGAGAGAAAACATTCTCTCAGGCTTTCACAGAGAGCACATTGGTCAAGCAATGGCTATGACTCATCCACATGGCTGATACTGAAAGGATCTACAAAGTATGGTACAGAGTTTCAGGATAAATCCTGAGGGGATTTGACTGACCTTATCAGACACAAAAGTTACATTTGTTGTTGTATAGATCTTGCTTTATCTTGGTCTTAACCATCCAGCAGAAAAGTATAAAAACGAAGTATAAAAAGTAAATCCATATTAATATGCTGAGCTGTGAAAGGCTCAAGTCAACCACTTTGGACATTGCCAGTCCTATGGAAAACCCACTACCATTATGGACTACTGACCTATATTGGAATATTTTGATGAATTCACACACCTACAATATTTAGATGACAATGGAATGCCCTTCTCTGACAAAGCTATCCAAAAAAAGGGGGATACAAATGAGTGACCATTTTGTATCTGTATACTCAAAATAGGATAGATATACGGCTACTTTCTCTTAATTCAATGAATAGAGAGATTTGTTCTAATAGTGTTCATGGACAGGATATCATGTCTGCATCTTGTACAATGAATAACCACTAAGACAACAATATGCAATGTATTAATTATTGAAACTGTGCTAGTAATGGTTTTGAAGCTGTCTCATTGCTATTTCTCAATGAAATTATTTAAAAAAAATAGTTACCATCTTAAAACTTTATTACACAATGCAACGTTACAATCTGGGTAGTAGTATCTAATCTCTTCCTGAATTCTTTCTGCATTATTGTCATTCTTTGAACACACTTTATACTGTCATTGGTCTTTCATTTTTTCCTGTGGTTGGTATAATTAAAAAAAAGTTCACCCACTAAGCATAATGGCACAGACACTGGTGATGGACATCCTGGTTTGTGTTTTGTTATTGTGCTTTTTTCAGTTATTTGATCTATTAGACCTAATCTAAATTGTAAATTACCTTTTCTTTTTTTTTTTTTTTTTTTTTGAGATAGGGTCTTACTGTGTACTGCAGGCTGACCCAAAACTTGTTTATGTATCCTAGGCTGGCCTCAAATTTTTGCAGTCCTCCTCCCTCATCCTCCCTAGTACTGGGATTACGGGTTTGGGCTACCATACCCAGCAGAAATTACTTTTTTTAATTTTTGTCAGAACTGGGGATTGAACTCAGGCTGTTGCGCTTGCCAGGGAAGCGCTTATTCCACTGAGCCATCTCCCCAGCCCAGAAATTACTTTTTGAGCTCCCATGTTTGGAAAAAATAATGAGTTCCATCTATATCTGGTTGAGAAAATGCATACATATTTTACATTAATTTTTTCCAGGCTGGGGATATAGTTAAGTGGCACAAGGTCCTGAGTTTGATTCCTGGTACCAAAAATGATAGCTTTTCCTTGCTTTTTTTATTGCTTGTAAGATGTTGATCAACTCTGTCAGCACTACCCATAGAATTAATGTAATGATTGAACACTACTGAAACTTTTAGTTACCTTTTTTTTCAAATTCTGTCATTTTTAAGTTCTATCATTTTTCTTCTAAAAAGATCTACCATTTCTGTGTTATGAATAGTTGACAATAAGGAGATGTCTTTTTTTGTCTTTCCATTTCATAACAGACTTTTCATGATATGTTCACATTTCCTTTTTTCAGTTTTTTCTTATAGATCCTTTGGCGCTTTATTCCCGTGTAGTCTTAGTATCCCAAATGTGTCTATTTTGTATTGTAAAAGAAAGTGACTGAGTTCTGGTGAAGTATAAACATATCTAATGTACCTACAATAAGTTTTTAAAGAGTGTAGCACAAAATTGCAGGTTTTTATAAATGAAGTATAAATAAGTAAAACAAAATAACCAAACTTGTATTTTACTAGAAACAAACATCAAAGGGGAATGCATTATTCTAAATAAAGCATACAAAAAGTAGTTGGTATAGAAAAAACAGACAAATGCACAAGTGTCTCGCAAACAAGGGTGGGCTGGTAGACATGACCCCTGCCCTAGAGATCATCCAGGTGACTCAGGGTAAGCTGTCAGGTAGTTAGTTAATTGCTAAACTGTTGTGTAGTTAAGGTATAAATCTAAACTTATTGTTCTGAAGTTTCAAGTTACTTACTATTTTACTGATTTTGAATTATTTTTATTTTTCAGGTATCTCAACACTCAGTATATTAAAAAGAATAAGTTGACTGAAGCTGATCTTCAGTATGGCTATGGTGGGGTAGATATGAATGAACCACTCATGGAAATAGGAGAGGTAATAAACTCTGACTGCAGGCAGAAGTGTGATGTTAATATGTTGAGATAATTTACTTCAATGTATTTTAAACTTATAAGAACAGATACTACACTTGATCTTAGCCAAAAGGCCAAGAAGCGATTTCAGTGTATTTTATAAGGACACAAAATTGACCGTTTTAATGAATTGTTGATATTTAAAGCATCCTAAATATTAAGGAAATATGGTAACAATTTCTTGAGAGTTTTCAGATAAATTAGAGGAACAGAAAAAATGTGATGGTTACTACTTTAGTGATTAAATTTGGGGCCAGATATAGCTCAGTGGCATAGTGCCTGCCTGGCAAGTGTAAGGTACAGAGTTGGATTCCTTGTTAAA